TAATATCATTCCATGTTACTGGATTCAGTACATTTCCAGGTTTGCCTGTGAACCAGAGATGTCTTTTAGATGATGAGTGGACTTTGTAAAAGGCTGGAGAGCCAATGTATTTTCACCCGGTCCTCACTGACTTGCAGTTCTTCCCATGTTAAGGAACAAACCCATTGTATCATTAAAAGTGCTGTACTTCAACCCTAAGCCTGCGCCTTTAGTTTTCATTCCACTGAGTGATTTCAAAAAGTGTTTAAGCCTCCCTGTGGAATTTCAAAACTCCAGCATTAGAGGGAAAAGTGCTTTTTTCCTAAGCAGCTTAATGGAGCAACTGTTCAAGATGGAGAAACAAAATGGGAAATAGCAATTTAGCCTGCAGAATAATTAGATCTCATATCTGTAAAGTAGACAAAGCCAAGTTGTAGATTGTAACAAATAACATTTACTCAAGCACTGTAATATGTTTAAGCACAATTTAATCCCTTACATTTCCACATTTCAAAGGGATGTCTTGATTAGCCAGTTCCCTTTAAATTAGGGGTTTGGAATAAAAGCAACACAAAAACATACCTTTACCACAACTTTTAAATATAATTTCCACCAAGAACACTCAAATATCTCAAGTGACTTAAGAAAAAGTCCAAACCAAAAATTAAATTTTGTAGAACATTCAATATCCGAAGGAACTTCACACATTAAGGTTGCAGAGATGTGAGCTGAATAGTTGAGAGAAAAGAAGGGAGGAGTGTAACGGTTGTGTAGTAGAACGTTCACCTCTCATGACTCATTTATCACAACACCTCCTTTGTTTCAAAGGAACTCAGCCATGTTAGGAAAACACATCTTTACAACGCTGCTGGTGCTTCAGGTTTACCACAAGATGTTGAATAAAACCGAAACTAGAGTAAAGCTACAGTTCCTCTAGCTTCGGTTTTTCTACCTGACACCACGTTATCAACAGTTTGAGAGCAAACGAGTCAAAAGTCTGAAACATGAACTTCAAATAATACTTTTATTATCTCGTCTCAATTCCGATTTCACATTTTAACCAAAACACCAACATCCAACTCAACAGTTTCTTTTGGATTTGATATCAACACAGGAATACTTTACACTTCAACCACAAAATAAATACTTTGTGTCCAAACACAAAGATTCAGTCTGAATAAAAATAACTGTACACATAAAGCAGTGATACCAAAATACTGGTAAACAGAAACTTATTTACACACTTGGGCTTTGAGCGGTTTAGACCCATGGTCCTTCACCACTGACTTGATGACCCCAACAGCGACTGTCTGCTTCAGGTCTCTGGCTGCAAAGCGACCTGTGGAGCACAGTAAACATTTAACACTTCAAAAAAATCACATGAGGGAGATTAATTTAATATAAAGACTCAAGAAGGACGACTTCTGTACCTAAGGGAGGATATGTGAAGAAGCTCTCCACACACATGGGCTTGATGGGAACCAATTTGACTGTGGCAGCATCTCCAGACACCAGGGCCTGGGGCTGGTCCTCCAGCTTCTTGCCCGTGCGCCGGTCGAGCTTCTCCTTCAGCTCAGCAAAGCGACAGGTCACATGGGCGGTGTGGCAGTCCAGGACCGGAGAGTATCCGGCCTTCACCTTCCCTGGATGGTTCAGGATAATCACCTGCAGACAGAAAACCCATCAGGACAAGGAGACATTTTAAGGTTTGAACTTCTTGAGCTGCTTTGAACAGACCTGGGCCTCGAAGCTGCTGACATCTTGTGGAGGATCCTGCTGGGCGTTGCCGGCCACGTCTCCACGCCGCAGGTTCTTGACGGCCACATTCTTAATGTTGAAGCCAACATTGTGTCCCGGCAGGGCCGTCTGCATCCCCTGGTGGTGCATCTCAATGGACTTGACCTCAGCTGTGAGTTTGGCGGGGGAGAACATGAGGGTCATGCCGGGTTTGAGGACGCCCGTTTCAATCTTGCCCACCGGTACTGTCCCAACTCCTGGAAGCATGAACACAGAGCATTCAACAAGTTCCTCAATTACTCACCTGACTCTCATTTGAGGGAATTAAGATGATTAAGTCTGAGGCCTCAATTTAAATCAAATCAGTTTTCCTGACCTCCAATTTTGTAGACATCCTGCAGAGGTAATCGTAGAGGCTTGTTGATGGTGCGCACAGGAGGCTGAATCGAGTCCAGAACTTCAAGCAGAGTTTTCCCACTTGAGTTCCCATCCCTTCGTCTGACCTTCCAGCCTTGGAACCAGGGCATCTGCACATACACATCAATTTCACACATTGCTAGTGTCACCTCATGCAAAATATGTCTTTTACCTTCTGGGTTGCGGTGATCATGTTCTCCCCAGTCCAGCCAGAGATGGGAACAAAGGGCACGGTCACAGGGTCGTACCCAATCTTCTTGAGGAAGCCGCTCACGCCTCGCACCACTTCGTCAAAGCGTTTCTGGCAGTAAGGGGGCTCAGACAGATCCATTTTGTTCACACAGACAATGATTTGTTTGACACCCAGAGTGTAGGCCAGCAGGGCGTGCTCCCTGGTCTGACCACTTCTTGATACACCGGCCTCAAACTCTCCTTTAGCTGCAGAGACCACCAGGAGGGCTACATCAGCCTGAAATCACAGTAATGGCACATCATTAAAGACTTAAAATATTTATATGTGGACAGAAAATTCAGTATTCACTGATTTTTACCTGTGATGTTCCAGTTATCATGTTCTTGATGAAGTCTCGGTGGCCCGGAGCGTCAATTACTGTCATGGTGTACTTCTGTGTGTTAAATTTCAGCAGTGAAATATCAATGGTGATTCCACGCTCCCTCTCAGCCTTCAGCTTGTCCAGCACCCAGGCAAATTTGAAGGAGCTCTTCCCCATCTGTAAAAACATTTATTGAGTTGACTTCCAGCATTTTAAACATGAGGTTTTACTGTGGAGGCCTTTTGTTCTTCACCTGTGCAGCCGCCTTCTCAAACTTCTCCAGCTTCCGCTGATCAATGCCTCCACATTTGTAGACCAGGTGTCCGGTAGTGGTTGACTTGCCACTGTCGACGTGGCCAATGACTACCAGGTTAACGTGAGTCTTCTCTTTTACCATGGCTGAATGTCAACTTGCTGAGCAAACAAACAATTTTCTTCTGAGATGCAACAACTCTGTTGACTCGTGCTGTAGCTTCTATCAAATGGATGTGAACGGGCTCTTTGCACTGACTTTATAAGCTCCAGGAGCCACTCTGATGTCAGGTGTGCTGCATCATTAAGCTTAATTGGTGTCAGTCCTGTCTGCTGAGGAGTGAGGCTTTCCAAAGTGTTTGGAAAGCAGGAGAAAACAATGCTGCAAATCTTTAAAACGTGTCAAGAATGCTGTTTTTTAAACTGTGTACAATAGTGCAAAGTAAGAATTGGTGCAAATGTTTCAGCTCTAGCTTGAATACAGCAAGCACTGAGAGTCAGTTTGTCTTTTAAAGTCTCTATGGGTCATCTAATGATCTCAAATTACAGCCAGGTGTTGTGGGTTCTGCAGGTGGAACTATTTCAAACTGCTTTAATAGGCAGCTTCTCTCTGCACATCAAACAAACTGTGATTAACCACAAAGAAACAAAGAGTAAAATGATCAGACAGGAAATAAACCTGTTATTAATTTGACAGCTGTGGAGGTTTGACTGTTTCTTTAGGAAGAAAATCAAGAGGCATCAATAATGGTGCATTAAACTTTGGAGAATAAGACAAGTATCAGGAGGATATACAAGGCTGCTTAACTTTTTCTGTCTGTTTCTCTGTATGAAATAGTACAAGTAGGATAAGTATTTTTGAGAGTGCGTATCATCAGCTGCTAACTTGTAGAATATATATGCAAAATACCATGTTACACTGTCTTTTCTGATATCTAAAGTTGATTTTATAAAACATTTCAGGCCAGTACCCTCTGATAAGTTTTTCCTTTCACCTTCTTACATCACCAGAAATCAAAAACATATTAGATTCAATTTGAGACTTTTTAAAATTACAAAAGTCATGCATCAATTCAATGAAACAAACCCAATAATAATATGTACATGAATACGAAAGTACAGTCGTGTTTTAAAATTCTTAAAACATCACAGTCTTGGTCTTGTGAAATTACTAAAAATTACACTGAGATTACATTGTACAGGAATACAAAGGAGTTTCTACTTATTCTATGAATATATGTTCTCCTTAATAGATTCTGACATCCTACTGCCATCTCTCTTTGAATAATATTTTATAATTAGCACGTCTACGGAGAACTATGGCTACAGAAATGTGTGCTTGTCTATTACAGAGAGACACAGACAGATTTGTTCTTTCATATAACCTCGGGGTCTTTTTTTTCTTTCACACAAAGCAAAACTGGATTCACCATGAGACCACTTCACAGACTTGTAACAAACCCAAGCTGACAGATACAATCAAGTGCAGTTTACCACTATTATAAGATAAGATCATCCTTTGTTAGTCCCACAATTGGCAAATGTGCAAAAACAGGCATGAGTATAAGAAAGTAATACTTCATATAAAAATATGAATGGAATAAAAACTAACATATACAGTGTACGAGGGTTATAACCCCCTCCTCTCATATCAACACATATTCAGGGCCATGAATCCAAAACCTGTTTATTTATATATTTATTTTTCTGTGGGGGGGTGATTTAAACTTTCTATTTAAACTTTATTTTATTTTAATTTCTTTCTTTTGTCCCACAAGCTGCACGTGTTCTGTTTATTGCTCATAAAGAAGAGTTTGAAATCGTGGTTTAACTTGTGTTCGTATCGCTCCGCCGGAGTAACTCAACGGTCCTAATTAAAGCAGCGGGGAGACATTAGCAGAGCGGGTCAGAGCGGGAGTGATCCGGTTCGAGTCCCGGTTGGTTGGAAACACACCAGCGGGTCAGCACCGCCCGGGCGGGGTTATCTTCGGCTTGGGGGACGGAGGTTGCCCCCCCCCCCGCCTCTCCTCCCCTCGCTCCTCCCGCCCTGCGCGCTCAGAGGTGACGCAAACCGAGCGCCCCTCCGGCTTGACGCTCCACAACAAACCCGGAAGCAGCGGCCGCAGATCGCTTCTCTTCTCCGCTGCTGGCTCCGAGCGAGGCGGCTTCCAGCTCCGTCGACTCCCCGGTTCTCCCACCAGCATCCAGGTAAAAGAAAAGAATAAACCCTTCCACTTTATTCTGCCTCCTCCTCCTCCTCCTCCTCCTCGTCCTCCTCCGCTGTCCACCGGTTGCCTTTCGCCGGAGCTTCTTCTGAGTCCCTCACTTTTGTTCCTCGCCGGGGGAAAAAAAAAGAAATGAATGGTGACTGAAAAAACCGCGTGTGTCGAAATCAAACTGAGTTTGAGTTGAAATGAAACAATCAGAAATGTCCGCTGCTGATGTTTCCGCTCACCTCCTCGGCTGGAACCGTTAACTTCCTCTTCTCCGCACCAGCGGAAGGTTTCCCGAGGCGACACCGGCGGCTAACGTTTCTCCTTTATTTAGCCGGAGGCATTTGACTGTGACATGCTCGGACCCGTGTGTCGGTGCGGGGCCACGTTTGTCGGTGCGGCGGCCACGTCTGTCGGCTGCGTTCCGCCTCAAGCCTAGTTTATGCTTCTGCTTCACGCGTGCGGTGAAGTGGGCTCAGATTATCCAGACTCGCCGTATGGTCTGGATTAAGGCTGCTCGTTTGCAGGCGCTGGATGTGAGGCATCGTTAAAGCTGCATTAGAGGAAATGAACCCGCTGACAGCTGCGACGCGGTTCGAGTCTCGTTTACTTATCGAGACACGATAAAAGATTCAGCTCGAGATTCAACACAACTCGGTTGTTCGGGAATTTGCCTCAGTTCGTCCACGACGAGACAAACACAACAGAACACAACACAGGAAAAGAAACAAAACACGCAACCTGTAAAAACACAACATACATGTGTGGATGTAAAATACAGATTATAATTAAATACAGTAAAACTAGTTAGAGTAGTTCTTAAAATACACTTAAATACTAATCAAATTCAGTTGTAGTTATTGCTTTGTAATAACCATACGTACACATGTGCAATAACTATTCACACACTACATACAGTTAAAGCACCTTTCAGTGTATATAGTCTCTGTTTATGTATTGTATTGCATTTGACTCTTTTTGTAGAAAGCTTTTTTTTTTAACCTTGCTTTTGTTTTATTTAAACTCATTTAAGTATTGCACCACTGACCGGTTTCTTTCATTGTACTGTTGACCCTGTGTTCATATGACAAATAAAACTTGAAACTAAACTGCTGATGCAGGATTGAGGAGCCATTAAGTGATTTGATGACTTTTCAGATAGTTTGGATGAGTCAAGTTAAAGCTTTCATTTTCAGGAAACATAGACGCTGATGCCGATATGTTTGTGAAAGGCTCATATCGGCCCAAACATTTTGTTAGTACTTTATATATATATACTATATATAACACAGGAAATTCTAAAATGTTTTAAATTCAAAAATGTTTGTTTTTGCAAAAAAAAAGTATCACAATTATTTGACTATCCAATCAGCTAATTCATTTGACTGTAGCTGTCAAATAAATGTAAAGGAATAGAAAGTGCAATATTTCCTTTTGAGATGGTGTTTAAAGTTGCTTAAAATGGAAATACTTTTTGGCCAGTACCCCAACAGTGCAGTAATAGAGTAAATGTAATTAGTGCTATTCAACTACTGGTGTCTTTCAAGAGTCTTTATGTGGTCAACTAATAAAGCTGTCATTAGCTCAGTTAACTATCTGATTGGAGTTAATTGTTGTTTAAGAGAACGGAAGTGCCTGTTATTTCCGCTCTGCCTTGTGTCTGCAGACGTCCTGAAAGTGGAAGTGAAACGTCCAGAACGCCAGCTTTGATGCTGTGTTAGGAAAGTGCAAAGTAGTTGTGCTCTGATGCAACGTCTGCGTGTAACTTGTCTCAGAGGTGTCACGGTTTCTGTTTGTGTGATTTCTGTGAGAGGCGAGTTAGGCCGGGGATGAAGAGTAACGTTTTACTCCCTAATATTGTCCCCTAAAATATATACTGTATATACATAATGTCAGACTCTCAAAAGGTCTCAATCCTACCTTTGTTGGTCATTAGAATTTTCCCTCTTGCATTTTTATCTTCCTTACATCTACACTACATGTCTGCTCTCATAGTTTGATTCAGTGTCGACCCTTAACTTTGGTCTGGAAACAACATGATTCATACCTGACTTTTCCCACAGACGTACGACTGAGGCATGGTACGACTTGCCGTGCTGTGTCTCATTCTCTTTCTGCTGTGGTGCGAACAGATGTGAAATTAGATGGAGTGACTTTTAAACTCACTTCTCTCTGAAGCGAACCGATCCTTATTTTGATGAGTGTCGTATGAAAGCATCTGAAGCAGCAGTTACTAAGATTGCCAAAGTGAGAGGAAATGCCTCCTACGACAAAAAAAGTGAAATCGGGTGTTGAGTATTTTGTGGCTTCAGGAAGTCACATGCAGGAGCTTTTTTCTTCTTCTCACGACCGTGGTTTGTTAAACAAGCATGAAATGTGAATGTGGCTCATTAGGTGCAACATGCTCTCCCATAAATCAGTCTGATGCAGGCAGAGGCATGCACGTTTGTTAGGCATGACCTTTCTCAGACAATTAAACATTGATCGGATATTGTGTCATGCAAAGCAAATGTCAGCTTCCAGGTTAGAAAATGGTTATTTCTATGTGTTTACTTATTACTACTTGGTTATTATCCGGCTGTAACCTTACAGATTTTTATTTTTTTTTGCATTAGATTGAACTTTTATTAGTGCTTTAATAACAGGAATCGATTAATGTTTAATTTGTGTTAAAATAGCCTCATATTTTGTGAATGTATTACAGGTCAATTTGTATTAAACTGTCTAATTTCCACCCACTGGGATCCTCCCAGGGAGCCACTGATCCCCAGAGGAGTTCCCACAAGTGAAGATTTTCTTGAGCAAACGTTTTTTCCAGTTGGAGCATCTGTAGATGCTGTAGCTGGGGTGATAACATGAGAGTAGAGGAAGCATAATGGTAGGTCATTTTAATTATTCATCAGTTTTCCAGGAGTCGTCTCAAGCACCTTTTAAGACAGAGCTGCTCAGACACTGTTATGTCCATCATTTTGTCTCTATATTGAAAAGGAACAGTCATGAGGATAAAACGTATGATTACAGTTATGCACCTTTGGATATGATCTGTTTGGGACATTTTCTAGTGAACAAATTGCTGATTTCAGAACAGTTGCCCACAGCAGCTGAGTGGTGAGAACCAGCTAGTGGAGACCACTCGTCTGATCACACCCTGTGGTCGCTACGACACTGACTGTCGGTATGAGCTTCATTGAATTCTCCTGCCGACAGTCAGACGATCTACTTATATTTCCGGCAGCAAATGGACACACACACACACACACACTGCATTTTGTCGAGCTGAGTCATTGTTGTAACACACAGAGTTGCTGTAACATTGGAGTCTGCACTTAATCATTTCAATTTAGTGTTTTTTTTTTTTACTAACTTACAAAGCTGTAATTTACCAACCTAACCTGGTTTCTCAGCTTTTTATTCATTGCCAATACAGTTGTTCCCCCTGCATCGTATGGGAATTATTTGATCTTTAGTAGCTTCACACATAACAAGTTAACAACTGGCTCAAACACCAACCAGCAGCTCTCTGACACACACAGCCATATTTCAAGATTTACACATTTTGCAAGGTTTGTGTTAGTCAGCATGCTCGGCCAGGTGCGGATGTGTCTCAGCTTTGTACTGAACAGAGCTGTATTGATCTCTTTCCACAGCATAATGCTGTTTGGACAGTTATTTGGATTAACTTCCTCTGACTGATTTGGCCTGTTCAGCATTTTTCTGAACATGATCGTGACACAGCGAAGACATCATTCAATTTCTCTTGTTTTAGAATATATATGCTTTTAATGGCACTCGATTAACGATTTCAGAGGCAAGCGATTTGTTCAGTGTCGTACAAGTTGTATTGTTTGACAATTAGAAAAGAATCAGTCGTGGACTTCTCCTGAGTGATCTCATTTCCCTCTTGAGTGCACATGATTCTCCCTCTTCTATCACTGCTGCATGCTTGCACTTGTCCATAAGCAGAAGTGATGACATTTGAGTCAGTCAGTGGGAGAGGCCGACTGTGTCTCCCCCTCTACCCCACACCCCGACACAACCTCACCCTTGGAGCAGGCCTGTCTTCCTGCACAGAGACGAATTACTGGAAACAGTTTGTTGACTGCTGACGTTTGATATCCCTTATCGTCATCTGTGTGCCACTTGATTATTCTGATATCCCACTGATATTTGTTCCAGCGTTCATGTGTCTGGTGAGTTTGGTTTTAATCTGTTATTTGATGCTCTAAAAATGGCGTGACACTGACTGGTCAAGCATGTGCATCTGCTGGACCTCTCTACTGCGGCTCCATCCCCCGATTGCTGTCGCACAGCAAATGTGCAAGATGGCAGCGTTCGTATCCAGGATTTTTCAGCTTCTTTTCTGGATAGTGGGAGGAAGAGGAGACACAACGTCAATCTTAATGTACAATGCATGGCTAGGACACTTGACTGAAAGAGCAATTTAATCTCAGTGAGGCTCTTGTCTTGGTTAAATAAGTTTTATACAATTTCAAGAACAAATTTCAAAAGTTCAAATCTTGCTTTTTGAAAAAAGCATATGAATTCAGTGAGTGTGTGAGTAGACAAGCATCCTCAGCCCACAAACAGATTTATTTATCACTGTTTACTGCTGTTAAATGAGCAGAGAGAGACAGTCTGAAGCTGTGGAGGTCCTAGCTCTCTGTGTGTGTGTTTGTGTGTGTGAAGCCTTTAGCGGCGGCAGTAATATACTTTTGATGTATGTCTCTGATGTGTATGAATCACTGTGTGAGTGCTGGTTTGTGATCTGCAGCATTGGCAGTGCTGGTAGACTCGAGCATTCCTCTCAACTTTCTCACTTCCGTCCTGTGATGTTGGCTTATCTGAAGCCTTAAAGCATGTGCATGATGAGAAGAGAGAGCAGCAGCCTCAGATCCGTTTGTCTTCTTCTTTCTTTCTCCCCCTGCAGGCAGCCTGTCCAACAGGATGCTTTCATTTGTTGCTCCCTGCGTGCAGCATTAGCATCTTCAGAGTAAATGTGGAAAGAAAAAGCCAAGTGGACTTTGCATTGAATCTCTCAACATTAAGCTATAAATAACAAGACCCACTCAAAAGGAAAAACAGCAGCCACGTCTTTCACCTCCCCCACACCTTTCACACATGCAGAGAAAAACTGTTCCAGGCTCAGATCGCAGAATAGAGAAATTTGATCCAAGACTCCTTTTATTTATCATGTGCGCAATAATTACAGTACTGTTGAGTTCAAGATGTCTTCAAGATTTTCATGAGAATTAGTTCCAAATGTAAAGTGGATTTATTTTTGCAGCGAGCAGATAAAAAGGAATCTCTCTCTACCTTGGTGATGCTTCTATTGTAGCATGTTAAAGGAGGCAGGCATGACATCCTCATGTGGCCGCCCACATGTCTGTGGACACGTAGAGGAGGGTGTTGCCACAGATGGCAGACCAGCAGGAAATTACTTTTTTTTTTTTTTGCATGAAACTGTTGCTGTGCTGCCCCCGCACCAAACCTTCATGCTCACACTCCTCATAGTGTTAAACAGTCACATAAACCCAGGGAGAAATTGTGTCCCACTTTTTACTGCAACTGCCCGTTCATTAATATTTAACCATGTCTAGAACAAGCTGGTGATAAAGGATTATAATTCTCTTTCTGGACAAGTAGAAAGAGTAAACAGGGCTAATTTTTAAAGGTTTATTATTATTTTATTAGCATTATTATTTTAGAGCTGTGATTGTTTCCTTTAAATCATGTTATTTTTTATTTCCTGATAAAATGTTGAAAGTCGCAATGTTTAAGAAAAAAAATCCTGGATCCGCACCTACATTTAGTGGGTCCTTCCCTCACCCGTACTGCATCCTTCCATGTTTCATTCATCTGTTCTGTTGTTTTTGTGTAATCTTGCAGGGATGAAAATTTAACCTCCTCAGCAGAGGTAATAAAATAATTGACAATGATCCCTAAAATGACATGATCAAAGACATTTCATGTAATTAATTTAATTTAATTTCAGCTGGTTAGTGTTTAATGCTTATTTAGTACAGATTTTCATGTCGATCTCTGGTTACCATCATGTCACTACATCCAATCTGCTTCTTTCCAAAGCTCATACTGATGATGATGATAACAAACAAACCTCTATACCTCTGTGTGGTGAGTGATTGTAATTGCTCGGCGTGCTGTGATGCATTTCTGTATCCGGATGACAAGTGCGAGCCCTCGACAATTATTTGTTGTGACATTCAGTTTTAGCGTCTCCAGTCCACGTAACTGAGCTGTGGGAGTTTTCTTAATGAAATGTTTTTCCACAGAGGCTCCGCTGTGCTCCGCTGGCTTCGGCACCTTCAGTCGATATCCCTCCTCAGTCCTCGGCTCTCGCTCGCCAGCAGGGAAAGGGGAGTACAAGTTGTCATGGCAACTTGAGTTTTAATGGAAGTTTTATTCAGAGGCGTTGAAACTCACACCACAAGGACCGATTTGTGTCCAAGTGCCTTGTGCTTAAATTCTGGACTGGCTGGTCTTCAATCCCTCAAACACACACACTTCAGTTTTATAGCAACAGTAATGTCACATTTATGCCTGTTTAAAAAGAGTCATAAACGTGTTATATGTTTATGACTCTGTCCCACCACAAAGTCAATTTAGTGCCAGTTTTTAATCGTGTCATGGCAGACGGAGCTCATTTCTAAGCAACAGGTCAGTTTACTTTTTTCTAGTAAAGTGTTGTAAAGTGAAATATAAAGATCAGTCTCTTTTAAAATGTTTAATCCCATGTTCAGAAACATAATTAACCCTTTGTTTTCCACGTGCGTGACAAATGGACAGACACATATAGATCCTATTGATCACCCCAGGGTTAATCGTCTATAGACAGACTCGGAACATGTGAACCACACACAGTTTACAGCAGGCACTCACAAAATGATCGACCCCTTCATGTGGTGGAACATGATATATACAGTCTATGGGTGGAACAGATAAAGAGAAAACGAATGTCTGTGGCATGTCGACTTATTTCTGCTGCTACAAGCTGGAGATGCTGTGATGTTTGTGCCCCTCGACACATCTCTTGTACACAACCTTTTCTGGTCTAGCTGATGCGTGTACTCACGCTCTGGAAGTGACTAATCATAAACAAGGTATTAAGTATTTGAAACAGCAGGATGTGAACATGTTATTCACTTTGATTGCTTCTGATCCTGTGAGATTAAAGCAGCGTCAGATCAGTGGTGTTGTTTTAATGACGCTTTGAAAAGTGATTTTTTAAGCATGTTGAATATCCGATTTTTTTTGTTTTACTTTAACCTCCTGCTGTCATTAATCTATCTATTGTCTCCCCCCCTCCACAACTTGGTCTTTATTTAAATAGCTTCTTTTATGTTTTTGTTCCTGTAGGATAAAGAGCGTCTCATGTGACAAGCAAATGCCTCAGAGCTATTTGAAATGTTTAACAGTCACACAAGTTAACTGTGCTGGGGCTGAATTTCCCTGATAGCCTGGATTTATCTGTTGCTCGGGGGGATGAGCATAGTTGAATGACCACACACACTCACGCGCACACACTGCCCCTCGTGAATGATCTCATCATGTGGGACTTTTTTGTCATCAGCACTGCAGTGAATGACAGTCCTCCTATATATGTATTTAAATCGTTAACAGATTATGGAAGGGAATTAAACAGAAGATGAAGGTTTCAGGCCACCTCACATTTATTACATTAGCCTTCATGAGCAGAGAGGGACTTACTAAAAGCACCTATTACTCAGCCTTTTTTTTAATGGCTCATCACTTTGGTCCAGGTTTAAATATCTCAGTCACTATTAAAATCATGTAATAATATCTAATAATGCTAATAATACCTCTGCTGATAATCGCAACAATAATAATACACATGAATACGGTAAATGACTTGATTACTTATATTCAGACAACCAATAGTATATTTCCAAAACACAAAGCTGAATTTTGGATAAAGCTGTGTTCATTCTTAGCAATGAAGAGCATGTTTTAATATTTGAAGGCAAGGCATGTTATTTAAATTCTAGGCTTAATTGCTTTATTAATCTTCAGTGTGAAGTTATAGTTTTCACCATCATAAAAACCGTGATGCAGGAGAGTAGTTTAGAAATTCCGCTCCACATACTGTAGGTTTAACGTTAACCTCTCTAACCTCACGTCATGCTGATTTGAGGGCTGATTTGGCCGTATGTCATTGTAGCCCTCCAGCTGTAGGCATGATGTGTGGCTGACTCCCATGATGCCCTGCCACAGATGTCACCCAGATGCTCCCCTGTGACATGCCAGCTCTATTGGATTTAGAGCAGGTCACGGCCAGTTTGCATGAAGGAGAGCTTCTGACAGAAAGCAGGATAAGAAAAGAGGCCGTAACGCTGCCATTTTCATGTTCAGAAGGATTATTGATTCTTGTTTTCACAGTGTTGTATTGGATCACATGTAATTCTCTGGCTGACCCCCACAGCCCTCTCACCATACTTGTGGGTATTTGAAGTTTCAGGCATTCACATTCACACATGACCAACATTGCAGCTATTGCTGTTCATTTGCATGCAGGCTGTCGAAGAGAGAAGTGCCTTGGTCCTAATGGTCTCACAGTGTACTGAGCTTGATCTCTGAATTAGGGCAACACATTTTGTGTAACCAGCTTGTGGCTTTTAGAAAATGTGTTGAGTCTGAAAATGGAAAAATTGTGAGGTGACTGTTTTTTCACTCGGTCCTGGCATTTAAAAGGTGTATTTTAAATTACTTAATTAGTTAGCAGTTCGCATTGGTTGTCTTTTAAATTTGAAGTCGTAAACGTGAGCTGGGTTGAGTCTATTAAGTCATTGCACCCATACAGGAGGAAGCAGGGCGGCTTGTAGATAACCTGAAGTGAATCAGAGGAAGTGTTGCACAATAGGAAGTGGTGTTTGTTTTATGCACAGCTATTTGTTCCATGTTTTTTGAGTCTGCACTTAGGCCATTCTCCACAAGTAAGACACAGCAGAATATAACGGCAAACCTTTTATAGCTTCCTTAACATGGTTACTGTTACAACTCTGGTAACTTTATTATTTTGTGTTTTTATTGAGTGAAAATAACTGAAGTAACGCGCGTGCAATGACGCAACAGGTTCTCTCTTGCTGTTTGAACTAGGCCCTACTTGGTTATACTACTGTAGAGTTTCATTTAGATGTTGTTTCTGTTGACCTGTGTTTCAGAGGCTGACATCTGCTGGAGGACTGTGACCCGGGGCCACCTGCCAGGCCGGGCCTCCCTGCTCCTGACTGACAGTCACACAGCTCCACTGCTGGTGAGTCCTCGTGCCACGTCTCACCTAAAAGCAATGGGGAACGTTAGTTGTCGTATGATTGGTTCAGAAATGGCTACAACTGAGTAATCTGTAGATGATTGTCTCAATTTATTCTTTATCTTAGTGTTTGACATATGTTCAGATAATGGTGAAAGATTTCAGAGAATGGTCCAAAACTTGAATATATTTGATAACTGTAAAAAGAAAAGCAGCAAACCCCAACACCTGAGAAGCTAAAGCTAATTAATGTTTGAAATTACGAGAACAATTCATGGAATATTAAAAAGGGTCATGGATCCATTCTGTGTGTGCAGAATGCATCTACTCTACATACAGTTACTGCTGTTTTGTGTTTACATGTCTATTTATATCTCTCCAACGATACAAATCATATTTGATCTTATTTGAATTGACCGCAGTGCTGGAAAAGCAGGTCACTGGGCAGAACAGACATAATACTCTACATCCCTCTGGTTTGTGTGCCTGCATTTCTCCCATTGTTTCAGAAGGAATTTAGGTCATGAAGGACTTTGAATCGATGGAGGCATTTCTCTAAATGGCTGTTTATACTTCGCTTTCTTTCCACTGCTGGTGTTTTCCATGCTCATGTGGGCTCAGTGCAGGTGGGAGGAAAAATCATGGAACTGTTTTCTCACTTAGAGATTTTGCTCTCAATGGACATTGTTCAGCGTCCTGTCGTTTCACCTCTTACAGTCTGAGCCTTGATGGGGAGCTGATCCATTTGCTTATCTAGAATTGTACTCAACAGAGCTCATACCTCCACCAACAGTCAGGCTGCACCAAATTGCACACACTCATAGTCAGTCGCCTAAAATGTCAAAAAACTCAATGTTAAAGAAACTGATATCGGATGTACAAATACAGACATATCATTACGTAAGACTGTCTGTGGTGCACCTATTAATTATTATTATTATATTAATATAATCTTAATGTGCCTGGCTATGGGAATGAAATGCATTGTGGGCTGTAAAAAGGAGTAGAGTGATGTACAGTAGGTGCTTCCTGCAAACCCCCCTCCTCCCCAAGCCCAATGTGTTTATGTAACGTCAGAGCGCCGGGTCACTGCTCACACGACAAACTCTCAGTTCCGACACAAGACACCTTTTGTGTGATCACACACGCTCCGCTTTTTTTATCTTGTTTAATTTCCATGCTGTTAAACGTTAGTGCCTCACATATGATTTGCATGTTTCTCATTTGAGAGCAGAATGTGTTTCAATTTTTGTTTCCTGTTCCTGTTTCCCTTTCGCTTTTTTTTCTTCCCTCTCTTACCTCACCCTATTACGACTCCCATCATTTCTCCCCCGCTTGTCTGTCTGCCCATCCCTGTTGTATTTTCTTACTTGGAGATTGTCTCCATGACACATAGCTATCATTCGACTGGCTAAGCCCCTGTGCTTGAATGCTGCACCTATTTGACAGCTTAGCCTCAGGTGGTTCATATATAGGATCACTAAGTCAGTGCATCCCCACAGAGAACTGTGTGTGTGTGTCTCTATAGGCTAACACCAAGCTGCCATGGTGCTCTAGTAAGACTCAAATCCATTCACGTAAATAGCCTGAATAACAAGCTATTTTAGTTAGCATGCAGTACACAAGCCTGTGGCAGTGCAGGCGAGCAGTTGACACGTTGCATTATAAATGGAGAATGGAGCTGAGTTAATGCAATGGGCAGAGTTTTGTGTGAATGTACACAGGATGGATTAGCTCGCTAAGCCAAGGGGAGGTGAGCAGCCGGGGGAGAAGCTTTTCTTGGCTCTCCTGTTGCTAAGATCAAAACTGGGTAAATACTGCCCCCAGCTGGTGGAGCCTGATATAGTAGATTTCGCACAGAAAATATAGAATTCACATCATGTTGAAAATCTGTGATTATTTTCCTTACCTCATCTATTTATACTTGAAGCAAAATGTATTAAAAAGGAAAAACTGAAATATCACAATAACATAAGTATTCATATACTTTGCTGTGACACTTGCAGTTAAGCTCAGGTGCCTCTCATTCCCATGTTGCTACATCCTGATGAAGGAAACTGCTCATCAATCCCATCAAAGTGGCGAAGCATGGTGGTGTGGGTGTGGGGGTGTATTTCAGCAACTTTAATTAAATCCATTCAGCTGTCCCTCAGTTTTGATCAAAGAGATATCCTTAAAACCCTGGTTCCGAGACCTCAGAACCTTGCAACAGGACAGAGGATGTCCTTGAGGGGCCCAGCCTGAGCAGTGACTTGAACCCAATCTCTATACAGGTTGGTCCCCATCCAACCTTACAAAGATTGAGTCTATCTGAGAAGGATGGTAGAAAATCATAGGTGTGCAAATTGTATTGCTAATCTCTGTCTAAGGTGCTTCAACTAAGTCGTGAGGAAGGGTCTGAATATTACCATGTCGATGTAATATTTCCATTTTTCCTTTTGAATACATTGGCAAAATTCAGTTTTTGCATTAGTATTTGCATTAGAATAAGTATAGATTTATTTTGAAAAAGTTTTTTTTAATTTTTGCATAAGGCTGCAACGTTGAAAAAGATGTTCTGACTTTGTGAATTTACTGTAGATCTCAAGTTCTTTATTAAATGGAAATATCACTTGCTCCATTCTTGACTCAGCATATGGAAAACGCCCCTGCTCCCTTTCACCCTCACAGGCTGCATAGGTAATTCGAGATGATATGTCTAAGTGGATATAATATATAGAGTGGCTTGTTATGTCAGCTAAAAGCTCCCAGCTTCTCCTCAGTTATCTATTATTTATGCCTCTGGAGGGCTGACACTGGAACTTCCTGCCAAAGTTCCCTCCTGCAACCACACATGTTGGACATCCTGTCAAATGGCACATTAACATTACAATTTACATTAAGTCAATAAAAATGTTGAATTTGCTGCCTTTTTATAAACTAAAAATCCCCTTGTATCCCCTGTAGTGTCTGCATGTGAACACTGGGTGGCGCTCTTGGATCAGCCATTAATGCCACTCCTCATCGTCACATTATTAGAATCAGATATTTGTATTATTTGCTCCGAAGATTTTTTTTTCAGATGACAGCATTTTATTTTACTGATTCAACTAAGTTGAAGTGCTCTGGCTGTTCATTTGCACTTGTATTTTAAAGTATAAGCATCCCTAAAGCTGGTGTGTGATGGTGTAAGGATTGGGAGTGGTCTCCGTTACCCATCATGCACAACTGTTTTCATCCTCCAGATGGCACTCATCTCTCACAGAATCAAATCGCCGGTACCACATCGTCCCTCCAAAATCTCCACTGTGCCCCACCCAAATTCCTGTTAGGTTAACAGTCTGCAAGGATAAAAATAAGTAAGGTGACTCTTCACAGTATTTACTGAATCAAATGAGGCATTAACTTGTCATCACACAAAACTGTAAGGAAAAAAAAAATTCTCTGAGTGTTGAGTTAGACATGAGGATGCGGTGATGGTGAGTCACAATCAGTCAGAAGGTCGGGCGAGTAATGATGGTTCAGGGCAAAAGAATGGGAGATCTGCCTGTGAATGGGTTTTGGAGGCAGCTGCCCTGAAGGAAGTGCTGCTTTGACTGAGGACAGTGAGTCAATATGCTCCTTTTAATGATTTCCTAACACGTCCTAGGAGGAAGTCAGAGGACTCTCAAGGGCAGGGTGGGGAGGGCTTCCTTCTCAGGCAGATGTTCAACGGATTCAGAGGAGAGTCAAAGTAGTGAATTCGGAAAAGAGTTCATACAGACATCATGGACTGGTTCCTCTCCCCTTTTACATGTATGTCTCGCAGTATTTCCAGCATTTTCTTCATTTGAATTATCAAATAAACTTTTGTGGAGCTGATGTCGAAGCCAGTCTTAAAATCGGTTAATTGTGTCGTTCTGAAATTACCACCCACCCAGTCAGAAGCTCTCTGTGGTGTAAAGTGTTATATTGGTGTGACTGTGGAGCGGCGCTAAGAGCCTCTTCGCTCTATTTCAATGGAGCCAGCATTTTAGCTGACTCTTTGTGTATGTGCCTGTTGCCATGGTTTCCAACTTTCATCAGGTGCCGTCCAAAGAGAGGGGCTTAGCCGAGGATGAGGCGCTGTCACTTTCATCCTCCCTTCTGATCTGCCTCTCTGGTCAAACTGCCGGCTTCACATGGTCATTTCATGATGAACACATGGCTGATAGCCGATGCCACTTTAAGCACCGCCGTCACTCGTGCAGATTCGGTTTGTTTTGATTTGATAGAATCTGGGTGAGGGGAGCATTAGCTGATGTTTACTCAGGCGTAACAATACAAAGGCGTGGCTATGAGTTCACCCACATAAACAAACAAATGGCGGCCTCCCCCTAGCCCGCCCCCTTTCCTCATCACCATGTGTCCCCTAAGCCATTTTTAGTCAGCTGGGTTGAATTGGCAGGGGATGGTAGAAGAGGGGAGTGAGGAGAAGAGAACGTGGCTTGAGGAAGGAGTGGGGGGGGCTCATGCCAGCCCCCATTTGGGAAGTGCTCCCCCATTTTCTGCCTGTCGAAACAGGCCAGTGTCAGCGAGCTCCGGCGGGTCCGGGTCTGGCTGAGTGGGCTAATGCGATGTGGCATGTCACCCGGGGAATCTAGGTCAAGTTTAAAGCTGCCTAGATCTGCCCGCCTCTGCCGCAGTGTGACGCTTCAAATCCCTCCCCTTCCACACACGCAATAATATTCAGCAGTCATCTTTACCCGATATTACTTTTTAGTTTTTCATTTGAATATCATACACAGACAAAAAAAATGAGCCATGCATTTTCCATTACAGACCCACATTATTACAGACATAAACACACACCACTGCCCCCCACCCCCCACCCCACACACACACACACCCCCAGGCAAGCTCTCAGCCTCTCCACGGCAGAGCCCACGTGACAGTCTTTGCTGTGTCTGCGCCCGGATGGGGAGGGGAGGGCGTTGTTTTTCATCCATAGTAAAGCGGCAGGGCACGTGGATCCTCATGCTGCAGCCAAGTAGTGGAATGTCAGCACTATATTCCTCCCTCACATTAGCCAGCCATCAACCCCCCGAGCTGGTTTTTGTCGGACGTTGCCGCAGTGCTCGGTTTCAGCCGTGCCTCTCTTGTCTGGGAGCCGGGAGGTGATAAAAGCCAGTGCCATCCGGAGGTCAGGATGGTCAGCATGGGCGTGGCACTGTTTTGGTTTCTTTTCCAAAATAAGCTTCAGCCTTTTTCTGCAACCTGCCAATACTTTTACAGTTTTATGTTATTTATTTTTCTGACTTTTTATGGATTATCAGTTATTAGCAAAGTGACAACATGTAGCATCATTTGTAAATATTGTTTTGTTTTTTAATTGACCATTAAAATGGGAATTTGCTGTACTGCATATAATAAATAATGAAATCACATTAAATCACAACGTGCTTAGTAGTGGAATTAAACATTCCTCTTCCCTCCACTACTAATCTGCTGTTTTTGGCGCATTACCTCATCTGTATTAATATATTCATGTGCTTTCAAGTCCTACTACTACTGTACTCGCTGCTCACCGGGAGCTCGCCTCTGATTGGCTGCTGCAATGTTTTCAATGGCACTAAATTTTTTTGACTCCATGGATACAGTGAGCTGTTGGGTAGATCGGCTCAGCCAATGGGAGAGCCGTGCGGGCTACTGCTTGTCAGATTCTGCCCCTGGCCTTAGAAGCAGCCCCCCCCTCCCCTCGCAGGGAGCACGCAATGGCTCAGTGGGGGGGTGGAGGGGGGGTGCAAAACAACAACAAGGCTGTCGGCGGGCTCTCTGCGGTGCCCAGGTCATGCCAGCACGACTGTGGACTACTACAACCGCTGAGGGAGGGAGGGGCGGGGGCTTCAATTCCTCGATCTCTCTCTGATACTGTATCTGTGTACTCTCAGCCAGCACTTCTCTCCTCGTACTACACCATCACCAAGCAACCAGCATACACACATGAACTCATATTGCATTTAATTCATCTTGTAAAAGGAGGCTTGTCATAATATATTGTGTGGGTTGTCATCATATGAGCTACAAAGTCAGAGTGGTTCATGTTTATGTAATCTGAAAGTGATACTCAAGCTACAGTTTGAGAGAAAGATTGAGGTATAAAAATGAAAATGATCTGGATCTAGTCTGCTCTTTCTGTGGTACACTTGAAGATTGAAAATGCGGCCATGTAAATCCCTGTCCCTAAAATGACCTCATTTTAAGCAGCACAGGGGAGTTGTAGCACAGAGCCTGTAAGGTTGCCAGTGCTGGCGCCGAAGCACCCGGGCAGCTCTGCCAGGCAGCCGGTCCGAGGGCGGCTGAGAGGGGGCAGCAGAGGACCGGGGGAGGCCCCTGCGATGGTGGGCAGTGCCCACTTCTTCCAGCAGGGCGAGGATGCTGACAGCTCTCATCCCTTCTGAGGCTCTGGATCAGGTGCAGCTTTCCGACAGCCAGTGAGGTGCCAGCGCTGGCACAGTCAGACATTCAGGTCACATTAGTGGAGGGTAATAGGACGAGGCTGGACAAGGCAGGTGGGTCATTGCAGGTGGTCACTGGTCTTGAGGAGTTTCTTTCACAGTCAGGAGGATTTTGAAGTAAAAAACTCTGTCTGTGCACTGTACTGCAGGATAAAGTATAGAAAGGAAAAACTACTTTTAAAAACAATTTAAACTGGGGAAGAAATGCAGAAACCTCATCACAAGTGAGGGATCCTTCCCCAGGACAGACAGACGTGCAATATGTGTCGTGTGTTACAGGGCATGTCGACAAAATAGCATTATTTACAACATTCAGGAGAAAAGACGGTGTGCAGAGGTGTATCAATGTTTTAAGTATTCAAACACAAGAGAAAGTCTCAGAGAATAAGGGAGCAGCATTGAAAACAGTCATCATAGTGTTATTATCAGTAATAGTAAATATGGGCAGGCACATTTTATATTTTAGCAATCTAGTTGAAATCACAATCCACAATCAGACTGAACTTGAGGAAACATGTTTAAAGATGTTGCTTGCTCCTTTTGACTTTGAGGTGCTCTGTTAATTAAGTACCAATCCATTATCTGGATACAGAGAAGGTAATAGTATAAAAGCTTTTTGTACATAAACTTTACAGTCATGTATAAATTGACCATTCATCATTAAAATTTCTGTTAAAAAAAAAAAAAAAGCCTCCACAAGGTTTCAAGATGCAAGAATACCCGTCGCCCCCCCCCCTCGTGCACCTCATGCATTTTAAAAGCACTCCATCTAACCCTCTGCTCCTGACTGCTGACTGTGTACTTTGCTCTGTCGCAGCGTCTCCCTGTCTCCCAGCATTACCTGCTCTGGCATGATTTACCCTGTCACCTCTGGCCCTCACTCAGTCACTTTGGCTTTTCACCTGTCGCTCATCCCCGCTGACATCTGCCTGCCGAAGTTTAACTTCATCACCAACCCGCATCGACCCTCCTTCCGTCCTCTCTGAGTGCTGCCCATCTCCGCTCTGTCACCAGGGGTTAAATCTGTCGCCGCTGATTGAGCCCAGCCACTGTTCTCTCTCTACAAACCGCCACCAATCTTTGACTTGTCATATGTCTGTTGACCTCTGCTGCTGAGAGAGATCGCGCTTTGTGCTCTCTAGGAGTCAGAGGAACGACAGGACAGAGAGATGTAAGAGGCTGTCACTTCTCACTGTGCAACTCTCAGCTGATGTATAGCTATAGGTGTATCTACTGTATATACGTCTGTGTGCATCAGCAGAGGTATGGGTGTGACTGCCAAAGCTTGGACACACAGTCTTCCTCCTCCTCATCATCCTCTTCTTGAACCTTCAAGTCACGTCATAGGGACAATGGCAAAGTCTGACACTTGCCTAATGCAGCACAGTTGTTGGACCAGGAATGAAAAGCCACTTTCAAAGTGTGAAAGCTTGAGAAGGAGAAATCGATGTATTTCTTAGTGAAGGTCAATAAGAGTTGTGTGTATTTCTGAGGTACCTATACTTTCTAAAGCCTTTTCATGTGCAAGTATATCTGCTTGAATAATGGTGAATAATTTTTTTTTCCTTTTTTCACCGGAACATGGAGCAAATTTCATTCTCATAGAACTTAACGTGGTCCAACACAACAATTTTGTTTATTATACTATATGGACGACTGCCATGCACTGTGCTCCTGTAGTAAATATAAGGCTTTGTTTCTGTCCCACACGACTCTCAGTACTTACGTTTGCGAAGGTATGTGAAATATTCATGTTGTGTTTCGGCTCTCATGACCAAGATGCTGCAGTGCACTTCCTGAGAACGTTGTGATTCTGCACAGACGATGAAGTGCATTTCAAATCACGGCCGACGAGCTCTACATCACAAACAACTAACAAACTTCATAATCTGCTGCCACATGACAACATCCTCTATAAAAGTTTAATTAGTTGCGTCTCATCATATGCAGGGAACATTTACCTACTTCATATGAACATAGATCATGTTTGATTTCCCTGCGGAGGCTTGTGAAATTGATTACTTTGCGTACAACTGCCTGTAAATGCTGATGATTGCTGGGAAGAATGTTTTTGTTATTTATTTTTGGGACTTTTTGGTCTGACATCTGGTTGTTAAGAGCATGGGCACAGGAAACACATTGATGCCTATATGAGCAGTGGGCACATCTGGGGCACCGCTGAATTCGTACAGGCGGTGAAGCAGAGCAGGTGGTGGATACAGTCGTTCTCTCCACCCACTCACTTTACCGCTGAACTCCTCTCTTTGCTCCCTATTGATTTTTCTCCCTTTTCCTCAACAGGTATCATATCATGGGGAACCTACTGAAAGTTTTGACATGCACAGATCTGGAACAGGAGCCCAATTTTTTCCTCGATTTTGAAAGTGAGTCCTTCTGAAGTAATTGCTCCACCTCCACTGATATTGATCACTTGAATATCTTACCATAACATTATCAACTCCAAAAACACTGTGTTCTTCCCAGCGGCAAAAGGAATCAAATCTACCACCAGAGCTTCTGCTCTTTTCCATCAACCTGCCTCTTCTACACCGGAGTGTGTGCGGAATATCAATCAGGGCAGGGTTGTAGCAGAGCCCCCTCCTCAAATATAAAGCGCTTAAGTTCAGCTGCTGCGTAGCCTAAGGCCCCTCAACATGGCTTGATCCTTTACTGTACTATTCTCACACTTGGCAAAGCCAGAGACTCAGTCATACCTTTAGAGAAAACAATACCTCGAATGGCTCCAACTGTTTCGAGGTGATTTCTTTTTATATTGAAATAACATCAAAGTTTTATATCTAAAAAATAACTGTAATGCAGGATTGCTTAAATATTATAAAGATCTCTCTAGCTGTACTCTTTCTGGAGTGTATTTGCATTTTGCAAACGTTGCTCCCTACAATCTCCTCAAAAAGAGTCATGCAAATGCAAACAATGATTTATACAATTTAATAAACTCAAAAGCAGAATTAATAATGATACGCAGTAGAAGTACTTCATTAAAGCTGCCAGTATGAGCTGAATTTGAGGTATTTCTTCTTCACGGGAGCAGGAGTTTACATTCATCACACTTGGCAAGGTGTTCTTCCTTCAGGTGGTGGAAAAGAGTTCATACTCCTGTTGCTATTCTTCATTGCCACTTCTCTCAAGGCAAAATACAAACTCAGAAACCAAACACTCTCTATCCACAGAGCTGTTACAAAGAGTAGATATAAGCCTTTTCATTTGTTTTCTCTTATCTCGCTCCATTTCCCTCCTATCACCCAAGGAAGTGGGTGGTGTCACAGTTAAATGGGAAGCTTTGCAAAGATGAGATTATTTCTGTGAATTTACATTTACATAATTGAAAGCCGCACATTAAATGTTCTATCATATTTGAGGATTTAATAGATTTCCTACAGCTGTTTTTTTACTGTATGTAGAGCCAGTCTGAATATGGATTAGAAACTAATCACATTTGCCCCGTTGACCCCGTTGCCCTGTTATTGTTGTCGTCGTGGTCTGCTGCAGATGCCCAGCCCACGGACGCAGAGCGAGAGGTGTGGGATCAGGTCGACGTGGTGCTGAAAGACGCCAAGGGGATCCTGGATGAGCTTCAGGCGTACAAGGGAGCGGGGCAGGAGATCAGAGAGGTACACCTTTACACAAATACCCACCTCCGACTCACGGCACGCAGAGCTGCTGCAGAGTTTGGAGAGTCTACTTGGGTCCCACTGTGAAGAAAGGATTTCCGATCACACTCTACAATGCTGTTTTAGTTCATATTTAAGAGTTCATGAGTAGTGTAAGTGTTTCCCTTTTGGATTAAAACAAGTCAAATGAATAACTTTCACAGGAGATGACTCCTGGGAAAAATTCACAAGGGTTGTAAAAATGATTAAATCTGTGAGGATTTCTTGCCTCAGTTTTGAACCACAAACATTGACTTTAGAGATGTTTTTGTTTAACAAATTTCAAACTAAAAGAATATAACCATCCCCCTTGTGGTATCACACTGCCCAAGTGTGAATGACAGTGGTTTTATGAGTAATTCTGCTTTGAAGGAAAGAAACTAAATTCAAGCAGCAGAATAATCTGTATCGTATTTTTTAATTCTTTATTAAAAACTGCTGCCTGCATTAGCCGTAATGCAATTTTACTGCCCACAGTTCAGTTACAGATTCAGGTGTTTTAGTGTAGTCCTGCGGAAAGTAGCCACAAGCTACTACCTGTCAAGAGGAGGCTGCAGAGGTCTGGTAACCGACTCCACATCCAAAAGTCTTCACAAGACGAGGTGGAAGAAAAGGGGTCTACCAGACTTTGTGCATCCTCCACAGAAACCACAAAAGACAACACATGTTCAAATATGCACCAGTGCACCCCCAATACCTTTAAACAGAATTGGTCACTATACCGAGTTACGAGTGACTTAATTAAAAAAAGTTTGGCTGTTCCAGGCGATCCAGAATCCAAACGATGAGGCGCTTCAGGACCAAGCGTGGGCGGCTGTGGTTCCCTTAGTGGGGAAACTGAAGAAATTCTACCAGTTCTCCCAGAGGTTAGGTATGTATCTGCAGGAACATTATATCACTGTTTCTCAGACTGAAGCTCCCACACACACACACACATGAAATAAGCTCAGGTGTCTGGTGAGATTGACAAGATTCGAGAGCTTTTGGTGATGAGGGCCAAGGCCAGTGTTGATGTGCTGTGAATCTATAAGTCATGTCCCGCCTCCTGTATGTTCTACCCAGATGCCTCCCATCACCTGAATGATGCGGACACTTTCCTGTTGTTGTGAATGTGTCTGACCCAAACAGCGTTGGCATTTTAGTGCTATTTGTCATTTTGAGCATCACCAAAGTCAGACTTAATACGGTGAAGGATGAAAGTCCATGTCCTTTATGTAAAAGGTCTTTTAGTGGCCTCACACGCATACAACCTTCATACGTGACCTTAATTGTTCACATGTGCATCTGCAGTATTGACTGCTGAACTGCAAAAGTCAACAGACATGCGACACATCCACGTAACCCACAGCTCAGCCTTATACAAACTCTCTTTGAAAACCCCCACAGCCGCGCATTTCTCAACATGCTGCTTGCATTGCACTGTGCGCTGACCTCTGCTGGGCTATAGGTTGTTTAATTAGCATGGATACAGGGGAGGGGGGGGAGTAGGCTTACTGCTCCCTGATCTTCTTATGACCCTGAGGCTTGAAGGGGTGTGGGGGGGGAGCCCGCCAAGCCTCAACGCCCTCTGCCCCGTAATCCCAGCGGCGGTGCAGAAGGTAGTCAATGGGAGCAGTGGGCGGCGGCAGCCTGGCGGTGGCTGTTATGTAATGAAGTAGGTCACCTCCCAGCCGCGGCTGCTGCTCTATTTCACTGCCTTGACTTTAGGCTTCAGGGGCCGTGATGGCCTCCGCATCCCGATGTCCTGTCTGATCTACATGAAGCTTAAAGTCCTTTACTACTACAGGCTGGTAGAGCGTTATGCAGAGCATGACCGCCAAGGATGGAACATATTCTAGACGGACGATTATGTCATTTATGTTGACAACCATATTTCTCACTAATGTAACATACATTACATGTAACATGATTCCTCCCAGAATCTAAGGTCTTGACATTGTTTGGTTTGTTTCACCAACAGTTAGAAAAACAAACCAAATCACTACTGTATGTGAAACAGACTCATTTGAGAAGCTGGGAAATAGTTTTTACTTGATGCAGGAGTTATGTAAGAGACGTTTTTGTCTTGCTCACATGTCGTTCTTGCCCGACCACTCAAATCTGAGTTCAGTATAACATTACTGGCAAAACGTAAAATTCAGACCAGACGAAGATCTTTTTTTTTCTGATTAAGATTTTAGGTTTTTAACCTAAACTCAGAGAAACTGATCTGAATTTGAGTCTGATTCATCAGAGTCTGTCGGGTCTCGAACAGACTAAAGACGCGCCATCCTACGTCCCTCCCCTCTCTGCGACTAAAGCGCCTAACATGCCCGCATTCTACTTGCCTGCTCTGCTGTGACCTGATGAGCTCAGACATGCCCCCACGCTGCCGCCGCCCCCCCTCCCCTCCATCCCCGACTTCCCGACATACAAGAGTGGCTCATTTCTGACGGCCTATAAGCATCTCCATCTTAACTTCTGTTTTGACTGGGACTTAGAGGGAAGAAAAAGCCACTACTCCGTGCCATTCTTAGCCAGCCGCTAGCTGCAAACGCTGTCCCGAGCAGATGGGAGTCATTACCGAATGGCAAACACGCTCAATTTACTGCACAGTGCTGCCAGTGCTCCGTCCGTCCCTCTTTCTGATTATCTTAAGTAGACCACTGTCTGAATCTGTCCGTTTCTAGGTTATGTTGACATGCTCATCGTCCTGTGTAATCAACAAGAGATGTAAAAGACACTTAGAATAAATCTATCCAGTGCTCATTTGGAACCACGCAGGCTTCTTGCATCAGATGCTCGTCTGGGTGATGTCATTATTTAAAAGCGTCTCGGACTAGACTGAATTCTGAGCGTCGTCTGCATCTATAAATAAAAGCTCCCACTGGAATCTATTTTTTCTCTTGATTTTGAAACCATGTGTTTGAAGAAGACCTGTCTAGTTTAACAGTATTAGTGCCTGGACGTCGTTCACTGCGTTTCACTTAATCGTTTCCTAATATCCCTGCTGGGGCTTCTCATGCATGTGTAATTATTGGTCTGTGGGTATGCCATGTCAAGGCATGACACAGGCTTTGTATTTACTTACTGTCAAAACAATGAGTGTAATTCTGCTTGAATGAAATCCTGTTCCCCTCCACCCCCCCAATTCCATTCCAATGAGATAATTAGTTCCCTGTCTCATCTGCATCTGAGCAGGAAAACCTCTCCTCCTCCCCCCTCTTTCCCGGACCACCCCCTCCCCTCTCTCCCTCCCCCAGACTGGCACTGGGCCCTCGGCAGTTTGGGCATCACCACTGTCCCATTATCTGTCTGTGTCCTAATCAGGCTGCTTCAGCTGGCTGACACACTAACTGTGGTTGTGATCCACTCTAAGGACTTTTCTTTGGCCTCATCCAGAACAACACACAGAAGGATCACACGCATTTTGTTCCTGGATGCTCTGCGTTGTGGCTGCGGCTAATTTCATTCTCGATTGACCTGTTTTAATTTTTTTTGCTAAACAGATTATTGATTAATCTATATACTGACAAAGATTGTTCTCTTGCTTATCATTGTCATTTTTCTACCACAAATGTCAGACACTGACTGGGCAGAGCCTCTCAATTGTTACGATTTGCTGTTATTCTTTGTTATTAATGAGTATAAAGTTTTTTTAACATTTCCAAGACTTGAGAAACAATTAACTGGAACCTCGAACAACAAAAACCTGAGTGTGAATGATTATTTAGCAGCCCTGACTGACAACCTGGATGAATACACACAAAGAGTCTCAGTCCAATGCCTTCATCGAGGACCTGACTTAATAAAAGAAAAAAAAATTGTGCCGTCCTCTGGCAGCACTTTTCCTCTAACACAGAAATCTTATTTTTTCCTCACAGAGGCGGCGCTGCACAGCCTCCTGGGAGCTCTAACCAGCGAGACTTACAACGACCCCACTCAGCATCTGGAGCGGGAGCAGGCACTGGCCAAGCAGTTTGCCGAGATCCTGCACTTCACTTTGCGCTTTGATGAGCTTAAAGTAAGACACTCTTAATTTCTCGGAGCGTCGGTTTCTGCATTTAAACCTCAGACTCACCTTTTACATATTGAAGTAACCTCTGCACTTCTCTCCTGTGATACAGACCCAACCTCTTAGTGCCCTACAAGCTGCTGACGCCCTTGAATTAGGTTCTTGCTCCGTGCAATTTTAAACCACAGCCAGTGAGTGCATAATTAGCATTTAATTAGAGTCCTGATACTGCTCTGCTGTTTATAATACAGTGGATGTCAGTGGAATGGCTAATAAGGGTTACTGCGGGTAAAGAGGTCTGCAAATTGTTTTCATCCTGAGCGTAGTTCTGCATAGTGTAGAAAGTTTTTATTAAAGAAGGAGGAAGACAACATCCAGAAATTAATATTTTGCTGGAATCGGAATGGAGCAGGGATGTCGCTTGAATGCGCATTGTCAAAAACATGAGGCCTCATGATGAGACAGCGGGTGAACTGGTTCCCCTTTACACCCCTACTCCTTAGAAACAAAAACTTACAAAAACACCCCCTGACACCCTGAGGCGATTTGCTGTGATGTCCCAATTAGTGCCCAGTACCCAGGCAAGATAAAAACCCAAAGGTAGGGGGGGGTACAAAGTGGCATGCTAGGCCTTGTCATCAATCTTTCACACCCATACACGGTCTCCTGACCTAGTTAAACTGTCTGTGTGGCGTGCAGCCCGTCTCTTCTGGTGGACACAGTGGACACAGACTGAGCACCAGTCTATTGTCGCAGGATTAGCCTGCTGCCAGTACAGCTTTGAATGTGACATGCTCATACAGGAATGACGATAATTAGCCACAGGATGAGCTCTCACTAGTGGTGACATTTGAAAGAAGCTCTGTGGTTGGTTGCTTTTTTTTTTAAGAGGTCACCGGAGCTCCATATTTGTAGGAAGTGGTGTCAAAAGAAATCAACTGAATTTTGTGGCTTTTGTTTGAGGCTTTCTTTCTCACCTTAGCTCTCCCTAATGAGACCCTTTATACCTTTTATGACAGCTGCGTAATTGTTGACCCTCTTGTCACAAACTATACAGCTGCACAGCCAGACTTTAGAGGGAGGATGACCAAATATTCCCTGACAGGAGGAGCCGGGGATGTGGATGTTAAAGCCGGATGAGTGTCAGAGGATTCAAATTCAGTTCGGCAAATGAAACTGTAATTGTATCAGTGTTCTTTTTATGTCATTTACCCCCCAAAGCTACATTTCTGCCGTGTTGACTAAAAAATTCTGTCATGATGATGGCGTGTTTGATCCAGAGCTGAATGTCCTACAGACATGAAGAGAAACACTTTCTGCCTCTGTGTGTATTAAAACTCAGTTCTGTTGTGTTTTTGTTTTGTAGATGACAACTCCTGCCATTCAGAATGACTTCAGTTATTATAGGAGGACGCTGAGCCGCATGCGGATCAACAACGTACCGGTGAGCTCATTATGTCCCTCTGCTCTCTGGGTGGTGAGGAGAAAATTCAACTTGGTTAAAGCAGCTAGAATCAATGTTTTGATATCACAGATGGATCAAATGCATGTGTTTGAAAGGAATCTCTCGTGACGATAAACTCAGAGATTTATCAACACAATTCTGCAGTTCACCTCAACTTTATTGAGCGTTTCAGTATCTTTCAGTTTATTGTTTTGATTTTAAAGCCTACAACTGTACTGTTTTTGTTCACTCTCACTGTTTTAGTGTCTGTGTAAGTTTCAAAACCCACTTTACACAACCTGCTCATCATCACTATGACGGATTAGTTAGTGACTAGCAGGTGAAAATAGTGGATTTGTGCATTTGCAGCTAAAGATCCAAATATTTCCGACAGTAGCTCAGGAGGTAGACGTTTGATCCCAGGCTCATCTAGGCTGCATTGCTAAGTGTGAGCATGATGCTGACACCAAAACCCACGGTAAATCTCAGTGATGACCACAAAACATTGAACCTGTTTTCATGTATAACGTCTAATTAAAATGCAAAGTGTTCAGTTGTGTGTGATTTCAAACAGAGGCAGCGTTTCCGTCAACTGTCAAAAGATTCAGCAAAGATGAATAATGACTTTATTTTAAAACTCCTCATGTTGAGACGGTCGGTGATTTTGAATTCCTTTAATGTCACAGTGGTGCTGTCCCTGATCAAATTTAAAGATGTGCGTCATCGTGATTTGTCTTAACTCAGACCTGAGCCATCACTTCTCATTATAATCTCAGCACAGTTCAGACTGCATCAGTTGAAAGGCGGCGATGACAAATGAAGTTTTCAGACTGTTTGATCGCCTCAGGAGTCGAGAGAAGTACGAAGGGAAGCGTCTCTCGACATGAAGTCACAGCCCCACGGGGAGCTTCATGGAGTTTAAAGCACAAAGTGGGAGGTAGCGGCACGTGGCGGGAGAATCTGATCCCAAATCAGTAGCATGGTCCAAATCCTCTAGAGATTAAACATTTAATTCCAGGTCAATGCGGATTCTGTAGACGACACCTTCTGGGATTGAACCCTGGTCTGGACCAAATGAGCGTCTTGGACTAGTTCCAAGCTTTGTTCGTGGTTTGAAAGAGAAGCAGAGCTGCTGCAGAGTGAGTGGTCACGTGACGTGTTTTCAGGTGTGTTGGTATGGACGGATATTATTTCTGATTAAGAGCAAAAATTTAAAATGAAAAAGGGAGCAGCTCACTCTACGATGTTTAAGTATTATGGGATTATCTTGATCTCTGACATTTACCGTTAGGCGAATGGACCCAGACAGACACAGACACTTGTCGTTAGGACCTGTCACTGTTGAAAGAAGATCGGGCTCAGACTCACACAACGGCAGCAGCAGCGTTTTAGTCACCACTCAGACGACTGAATCATTCAGACATCTGAGATGAAACGCATCTGTCCCCGTGGTTATCTCTTTGGGCTTGTGTGTCGTCATCTGTTAAAGCAGGAATTGGTTTTGAAATTGTATTCCTATTCTGTCAGTGCTGAAACAATGAAGGCACAAAATGTTCTCATCATTTTAAATATGCAGACAAATTTAGAACAGACCATTGGAGAGATACCGGTGTTTTCAGTGAAGTGGCAGGATGTGTCAAAACCAGGAGGTGCAGCGGGGGTCAGTTTATATCAGTGTTTTTCTGTCAGGATTTCATTTTAATTTAATGACTTTCATCTGCGCGGTCCCAGTCGGGCTGAATGGAGACGAGTGTGATGCCAAACAAAGCATCTAGTTTCCAAATAACAGTTTCTTGCTCCTTTTTTAATTTGTTTTTTGTTCATTTTTTTTTTTATTGCTCATTTTAAAAACCCAAATTACAATTTCACATTATCACAGCAAATGGTATCTCAACACTCTGCTCAGAAAGTGAAAAAAAAAAAATCGCAGTTACACAATTATTTACACATTAAAAAACTATTTCCAGGCGGAGGGTGAAAACGAAGTCAACAACGAACTGGCCAATCGGATATCTCTGTTCTACGCCGATGCCACGCCCATGCTGAAGACATTAAGCGACGGCACAACAAAGTTTGTGTCGGAGGTAAGACTGACAGCACAGGGGAGAGCTTTTTTTAAAACCGTCTGTGTGACACTGAGCTCTCACTCCGTTTTTATCTCTCCATCTTTTTATAGAACAAGAACCTGCCTATTGAGAACACGACAGTGTGCTTAAGCACAATGGCGACCGTGTGTAAAGTCATGTTGGAAACACCGTGAGTGACTTTAATGTTGACAGAGCTGTTTCCCCTCCTGTTCTTTACCTTCGTGGATGTAATCCCTTGCTCATGTCCTGACAGGGAGTACCGCAGCCGATTCGCCAGCGAAGAGACCGTGTCTTTCTGCCTGCGCGTCATGGTCGGGGTCATCATCTTGTACGACTACGTCCATCCCGTAGGAGCCTTCGCCAAGTCATCGAAAATCGATGTGAGTACTGCCATGGTCGTTCCATCTTTCCTCCTCCCGGCTGACTCTGACTCTAACAGTGTATTTCTGGTCCTCAGATGAAAGGCTGCATCAAAGTCCTCAGAGAACAGCCTCCGAACAGTGTAGAAGGCCTTCTCAACGCTCTCAGGTAAACTTCCCCTCTGCAGCTCATTGAGAAAGAGACGGCTGCTCATGCTGAGTTAGACGATATTAGTTCATGAGCAGCAGACAGACCTCTGGGTTTATTTCACCCTCGCCTCCAGCGCAGGACTCATTCTCTGCTCAGTCCACTGGGGACTTGGTCAGCTGTGGGTTGGGTGGCGAAGCCTCTCCAGAGAGGCCAATTACATCTGACACCTCCTCCCCTCGTAGTGGTCCGAATTCTACCCGCCTGGGCCAACACTCACAGCTGTTTGAGCTGACGGGGCCGTGTCTGTGTCGACCTCACATCTGTATCTGCCCCTGTACCGGAGGCAAGAGGCGGGCGAGCACTACACGGTCGCATGAGGTCATTCTCATCCAAAAGCTGCCGGATTTTCTTTCAGAGCTCTGATGACAAATTATTCTAGATGTACACACTGGTGGAAAGTAACAAAGTACATTTCAAGTGCAGCTTTGACATACTTTTACTTTACATGGGTTTTCTTCAGGGTTATAAAACGTCTTAAATACACTGAAATATCATGTACTATGTCTTAAAAACATTTTGGCTGGTCTGCATTATGTCGTCCTTCATTTAACTCTACTTCCACTTCTTTGGTGGAATGTATGGTTTGTTTTAATACGTATCCTCCAGTAATGCTGCTAACTAACAGATTGTTCTGAGGAAATTAAAACATCTGACACCGTCTACAGTTTGTTGAAATACATGATTCAGTCACTGATAGTTTCTCCTGTCGCTGCAGGTACACAACCAAGCATCTGAATGATGAATCAACCAACAAGACTATCAAGAGCATGCTGCAGTAGGACTGAGCCGCTGCGACTGCTTGCCTCACACCCTGCTGGGGGGAGACGCCACTCTCCTGACTGATGTCGGTGCACAGAATGTTTGTTTTTTCTTTTAAAGAGCTACAGCTCCGCCCTTTTTTTTATATTGCAAAATGCTACTGCCATTATGAAACGTCTTTTTCTGTGCCAAAAAGATGTCGCTGTGATGTTTTCGATAAAAAGGCCATGCAACAATGGCAGCTAATGAAAACATTGCGGAACCTCTGGTGTTTTTAAAAAATGTCTTGTTTTTTTTCCCTATTTAAGGGACGGGGGAGCTTTGACTTGAAAATTTAAAAGAGAGAGATATATAGAGAAGTATATATTATTTTTGTTTGATTCGTTATTTAATATTACATCTTCTGCATGATGAAAATTGTCTTTTTTTTTCCTTGTATTTAAAAAAACTAATGGTTCAGTTTAATTTGTCTGCTCTATTGTGCATTATTAAATGTTTTGTTATTGAAATGGTACTTGTCAAAATGAGATTAAGAGTACTGTTCTTATATTTTTTTATAGGTTTTAATTTGTGCATATGACTTTTTCTCATAGTTGTGTTGTATTTTTCATTTGAAAACTTTCAAACTGTGATGTGTGCAAAATCAAAATCAAATTAGGAGCGTGTACTGTACATGGACAGTATGTTGTGGCTGGAGACATTAAAAAGAGAACTCTTGTTTTCTACAATCCCCTCGTCAGGTTTGATCTGTTCTCACGTTGATGTCGTCAGATGTTTTACTGTAGTTTTCTTTTTTTCCTCACGTGATAATTAGTGAGAGACACCCTCTTGTGCTCGATCATAAAAAAGGGGCAGCGAGGAACGTTTTAGATCTCGCAGCTTGATTAAAACGAACCCAGTGACACAGGACGAGCTTCACTACCTTAAAGGGACAGTTTGACACTCTTTTCATGTTCTAGTGAGATTTAGATGAAAAGCAGCTCCTTTGTCTGTTTAAATCTAAAGGTTTTAAAATATTCATTATTCCTCCTGCATCTGTGGCAAATTTGTTTCAAGTACAAATATTTTAATTTGAACAGTGACTCCTATCCATAATAAAAAAGTTCTGCAGGGGTGATGGGAACTTACTTGGATAAAAATGAATGTAATCTAAAGACAAATTCAGGCTGGTGCCCAAGAGTGAGCCATCAGTAGCACCCCGCCCTGACGTCACCCATTGGTTTGTAAGCTGCTGTTTTAAGATCTCGCCAGTTTGATTCTGGCATTATGAAAGAATTATTAAATAAAGTAAAAAATAAAACAAGTGATATTTTCTCTCTAAATTCAAGCATTTCGCTTCATGTGCTTTTCATTTGAGCCATGTTCTCTTTGCCTTTAATGACCAGTCAATGTCTACTGTGCTTAACGGCTCAATAAAAACAATCACATGATGAAGTAGTTGTGTCCCTTTAATAATAACGATAATAATGATTTAAAAAAACGCTTTTCTGGGATCCATCGTTCCTTCTTTCCACATTTACTATCTTTTCTGTTGTGTTCAGTAAAACTGGGAAAGTGAATTCTCCTTTCCTTTCACTCTCACGTCTTTAACCTTTCAGTGTTTTTCCTCCTTCCAGCAGTGCTTCAGTGTGAGGAGGGAAGTTTCCGCTGGGTGGGCACTGCAGCACTCCGAGCATCGCGCTGGAGAACTTCTCAGGGTCAAGGAGAGAGAGACAAGGAGGCAGCAGAGTGTGCATGGGTGTGTCCTCTGCAGCATCACTGCACTAACAGACAGGGTAGAGGAAGGAGAGGGGAGGAAATAAAGTGCTTTAATGTTGGGTGGGTTTTAAAGTCCTTGAGGGAGAGGGTGGGTAAAAACTGGAAACTGCTGCCCGTAGCTTCTGTTGCATGAATGCAGCTTTTGCGTGGTTGTGGAGCATGCAGCTGCCTGTGTGTCACTGTGACATCTTCTCAGTGGGCAGCGGCATCCTTGTTCCGCAACGGCTGATCTCCCACTGTGACCCGATGCACAAGCACTCACTCATCCTGCATCGTCTTCTGCAGTCGTCCGCTTCTTCTCAGGTGCTCTGCTTTATCATGCGTGAAAATTATGACAAAAAAATGCAGTTTGCAGGCGTGGCTGGATCAAAAAAACAAGAAAATCCAATCTCCCAAACTGCACTTTGAAACCCAGCTTCTGTCATTGAGTGATCTTGAAAGTTTCTGCGTTCATCCTGAAGCCTGATTTGCAGCAAATAGTATTTTAAAAAGTCAGAGAGTTGGTACAGGGGAAGAAAAATAACTTATATATATATATACTTATCTCATATTTGACTTTCTAGCAGACATTAACTGGTGCATACATGTGCATTTAGTGTTTTTATTGATATGTAATTTCTTTTGTTGCAAAGGTTAAGTGGAGGACAGATGCAGCACAGAAAAAAAGACAGAAGCTTCAGCGTTTCAAAGCTTCCAGAATATCAATCAGTCTAAATTTGACCTTGAGGATTTTCAGGTGAATTTCCTGATGTTTGTCACACTCTCGCTCTGAGGACGTTAACGCTGCACGATGTGTGTTGAGTGACTCTTATGACGACTGAAGTGAAGACGTGAAGAGTAGAAGAACACGAGGAGAACGGAAATAATTAGAAGCATCCATCTTTTTGCAGGACAAACCCGCCTCCTCTCTCTGACAATAACAAGGCCCTTTTCTTGAATATACCGAGTTCGGGTTATGTTCCTGTCACGTCGCTCCACAGTTTGACATTTGGAGTATTATGTGCCACAGTGAACTGGCACAACTGTCAGTTATTTCTGAGTAAAGAGTTTCTCCAAAAACCCCAGAGGTGCCTGAGAACTGAGCTCTGTCCATAAACCACAAGGCCCTAACACATTGCTCATCTGTCTCTGGGGTGAGACAAGTTCGCTTTTCTCAGAAAGACAACGGCTATCCTCTGAGACCACCACCCCTCCACCCCCTCCACACACAAACACGCTGCCACAGATGCAGCCCCCCCACACTGAAAAAAATCCCACTTCCTCCTGTACGTTGCTTTAATCTGAGTCTTAGTTAATCAGTCGTGTCAAAACATCAACGGCTCATCGCGGATCATGTTACATGCCAAACCCGAGAGGAGGGTGCTGTAATCTGAGTCCGTTGGGCAGATAGGACTATTTTCTTGGGCAAAGCATTTGCATGAGCAGTTTTCAGGAAATGTAGAGTCAGTGAAATATATTGCTACACTTCAGTGAGGGGGCTCAGGCCCCTGCACAGGTCTTCTTCTTAAACACTGCCAAAGAACACAGAGAAGAATGTTTGTTCCTGCAGTTAACTATAATTTAGAAACAGTGAAAAACATTTATGATATTTAGAATTCATACATCGGGAGGAAACTAACAGGGAAGTAAAGGAAATGATAATCACGTGCCACAGAGAGGAAAGTTCAGGTTTGAAGTTTTTTATTGCAAATCGTTCATGAGAGTAGATTACCCACGGAAAAGAATGATTTAAATAACAGTTGGACAAAAAATATTTTAGTGCAACAATTAGGTAGAAGGTTCTTGGTTTGGAAGGTTCTTGGTTTGGAATCCTGGTTCAGCCTGGGCCTCTCTGTCTGGGGTTCTCCATGTTTCTCCAGCTTCCTGACGCTCACCCATATCAGCTGGGATTGGCTCCAGCTCCAGCACAACCCTCTAAGTATAAGCGGTATAGATATGGATGGACGGATGGATGGTGGAGTCACCGTCCAGGAGAAATGCAGCTGCAGCTTGTCAGTGGTGAAGTTTCACTGCATTTCCATAATTTATACAACAGCAAACAAAATAACTTTTTGCTCGTAGTTGCATCTGTGAAATATTTATACAGATATTCTTAATTTAACTGAATCCTTAGTTAATGTCATTATTTTCACCTCACAGTCTTCCTCAGTAGCCCCGTTGTCTTGGAAACGTAGATAAAGTATATTTCCATTTGTCTGAGCAGCTACACCATCTTTTTCAAAGATGATCCAGAACGTGTGGCTTGTTGATAGTTCATACAAACGTTCGTACTTCACACCTCAGTGAGGCGTTGTGTGAAATATGCCCTCAGTCGGCATTATGTCGGACCTGACCTCCTGCTGCAGGTCACCAGACGTCCACACACAGAAACACTGCAAACAACAGCTGGTCAGGACATCAGGGGACGACACAGAGATGACAGCAGCTTTTACTCTGCTCCCGATGCACTCTGACGTTTCTGAGGTGCACAGTGAACTTTTGGTACCAGACATACTGTGGCTTTACAAGTACTAGTTAATCATTTATGAAAGCTTTATAGATCATAAATATCATTTTTGTAAGAGCAACTTACTGGATGTCTGGATTTACTCACAACCTGGCAACCCAAAGGTTTTTGTTCTCACTGGTTTATTTCCAAGTAAACAATGTATTACCTTAAATGTGATAATAATATAATGATAATATCAAGCTATTCTTTATACTCAGAAAAAAGTTTCAAAATATTGTGTGATCTTTTGCATATTTCAGATTTGAATCCAAACAAAAAATAACCTCGAAGCTCGGTCCAGACTAATACCTGGCTCGGACATCAAGGTTTTTTTGTTCATGTAGACAAAACCGTCGCGCTCACAGTCACTTCCACTTCCAGTTTCTGATGCACCCTGTCTATTGCAATTTCCTCAGACGGAGGTCCTGACGCAGGGAGTCGACCGTTTTCTGTCCTCGTGTTTGACCATAAATCTTGACTCTGAGTCCTGATGACTGTGCAACTGTTGTTAGGGTCTCCACCGCCGAGGTTTGTCTCCAGCCATCCTGTCACTGCGAAACATCCGACAGAACAGTCGGACGAGGGGCTGCTGTGGTCTCTCAGAGTTGTTGTGTTTCAGTTGTTGTCCCGTTCCGGCAGAAATGGTGAAATAAGTCAAGGTTTTTTTTATTCTGGGTTGGCGGATGAGACAGTTTGGAAATATTTGAGACCCTTGTGGCAATAGCCAATTAACTTGGCTTAGTGTAAAGACTGGGAAAGTCAAGTCATTGTATATCAATGAATTATTCCCCGGGAAATCTATGAAAATCCACTCCCACACCAGCATGTCACAAGCTCTTCCCCGACCCAAACCACATCCTCTCACCGAGTTCTGTGGAATGAATTTAATCAGTTATTCACCTTTGAGAGGTCGGAGGCCACGTCTTCCTTTTAAAATTGTGCTTTCAGCTGTTTTTAAATAATCCACTCTTTACACGTACAACTTTAAACACACCTGTCACAGCCATGACGCCATTTTTGGGTTGAATATCTTGCACAAGGAGCTCGGGATCGAACCACCTCCCTCTCTACCTCCTGAGCCACAGCCATACCATTTGTAGTCCTAAATAAAACTGACTGGACTTGACCGATCTGTTTGCTGGATCCGTGTCAGTTCCTATTCAGAGGACGGGACATCCTCGTCCAGCGGGACTGATCCACGTGAAGCACATTTTTTATCATCAACGTCATGATTAGATTTAGTGCCTCTGATATTACTTACATTCATGAAGTCACTGTGGGCTCTGTTTTTAGCACCACTGAGAGAGAGAGAGAGAGAGAGATAGAGAGAGATCACCACAATTATCCAGAGGGCTGTGGCTCTAGGGTTAGAACGGGTCGTCCACTAACCAGAAGGTCAGGGGTTAGATTCCCAGATCCTTAGGCGACAAGTGTGTAATAGAGAAAGCAAATAGTGTGAATGTATAGTGTGATGTAAAGTGT